GAGCTCAGAACTTGAGGCCACCCTATGGCCTCACGGTGGATCTGGCAGATCTGGTCACTGTCACCGAGATCCAAAGTCCCTCAGGACCCCCTCGGCCCAGAGCTAAGGAACCAGATGGGAAGAGGGAGCAAGGAGTCACGACTCGGGGCTGGAGCCGGGGGCCGTGTGTCCTACAGGTGGCAGGGCTGGGCCCACCGTGGGCACCAACACAGCACCAAGGCAGAGCCCTCGACCTGCCCAGGGCCCCTGCCCAGGCCGCAGTGCCAGCGACCGGGCCCCAGACGGCGGGACTGCGCCATCTGACCTCCGTCACGTGACACCGAGCCTCACGTGCCCCTCACCGCACGCGACTCTGCCCTCCCCCAGCACGCCGACGCGTTCCCCGGGGGCCCGGGTGAGTGAACGAGCAACACAGCGGACCGCGGCCCTCGCCCGCGGACTTCTCCCTGCGGACTCCTCCCTGCGGGCCTCCAGCAGGGCGTTTGCAAAGGGCCGGACGTCGTTACCTGTAGCAGGTCTTCACTGAGGACTTCGGTTTTCTCCGCTCTGTGGGGAAAAGGTAAAGTTCACAGTTAGAAACCCAGAAACGAGAGGCAACGCATGGCAGCTAACGGGCGTCACCCTGGAGATTAAGACAACGAGGCGGAGATGAAGGGTGCGGGGGGTGGGGGGGCTTCGGCAGGTTTTACATTGGGGGCGACGCAAGCGAAACTAAAGAAAACGAACAGAAGTTTGCAGAGAACAGCAACTCAGAACGAGCAGAAACGCCCCAACCAGCGGCTCCCAAACTCGGGGAGACCGGCCTGGGGAGACCGACGCGGCAGCTCGGGAGTGGCCGGCACTGTGCACGAGCCCGGGGCTCCACGGCCACCGCCGAGGAAGGACCCTCCGCAGACGCTTACACGTCAGCTCCTCGAATGACCACAGGCCTCACCGCCTTACGGCAGCTGGTCTGTCACAAAGGCAGATGCCCTGTGCAGTGACACGCGGTGACACGCGGCAGCACGCCCTCCCTCAGACTTCTCTCCTTTACCCCAACAAGTCACTTCGCAGCTCAGCGCCGCCTGTGCTTCAGGACGGCCCCAGGCGCCACCCGCCTTGCAGAGACCGTGGCCGGCAGCAGGGTCCCCGGACCCCTGGCAGCCTCGCCCTCCTGGAGTGAAACGCCGCGGCGGCCTGTGTGGCTCTCACCTGTCTGCTCTGGCCGGGACTCAAAGGCCTGAACAGGGCGCCGCACACCTGACGGCTCCCCCAGGGGTGGGTCACAGCGGGAAAGTGCCAACGCCTACAGAGACAGGTGAACCCTGAACTCCGTGGGCTCGGGGGCCGCACCTGACCTCTGCCCCCCAAACTGCCACGAGCCTGCTGCTGCCCGGGACTTGGCAGCGACACAGTCCATGCACACGTATTCCGTACGCGATGTGTCTCACATACGGTATTCTAACGGCAAAGTCAGATAAAGAAAATGTGACTAAAAAAATCATAAGGAGAAAACACGTCTGCAGCATTTACTGGAAAAACCCACGCAGACGCGGGCCCGAGCGGTTCGGGCGAGCTGCTCCCGGGCCGGCTGCATTCGCAGGCTCGCAAGGGGAGACTCAGAGCAGGTCTGTCCTTACGACGCGAAGCCGTTTTAAAACGACAGCAGAGGAAGAGTGAGCGTGAGTGACGAGCCAGAGTGGGCCGGCCGCGAGCACGTAACCGCCCCTCAGGACGGCGGTCACAGCACGGTCCTGCAACCGTACCCATCCGCAAACGACTGTCCAACACAGCGTGCCCATCGTGCAGCAACTCATCCTGGCGTCGTAGCCGACTGTGCTGCGGGATGGGATGCGGGATGTGATGGCCGGCACAGCCGCAGCCCTGAGAGAGGCACCGAGGCTAGGCAGCCACACGTTTGCACATGTGGTGTAAGGAAACGCACGGGAGGCAGCTAAACTCCGAAAGGCGCCGCCCCTGCTTGGGGACCGCCCCCCGGGAGGGTGGGCATGTGCGGGGAGAAGCCATGTGACTGCGACCAGATGAGCCCTTCGCGGTGTCTGACTTTAAAGTGCACGTGCACACGCTCTCAAATTCCAGAAAACGGGGAGCCGGCGCATTCCTACACGCCACGCCCGGTGTTTTCACAGTGTGAGGCCCGCCCAGTGAACGCGGCCCCAGCTCCGTGGCACTGGGCCCAACTGCCGACACAGAGAAGGCACCGGGCCGCGGGACCTCGGAGGGTTCGGGGCGAATCCGTGTCCTCATCGTCCTTCCAGCAAAGCAACAACTAGACGCACCCCCCCGCTTTAAATTCAGAGGCCGAAAACTGCATGGAACAGGCGTGAAAACGTGAGCACGCCACTTAGAAAGAGCCCGCCCCACGCTTCCTGCCTCATGGACGCGCTGTCTGCCGCACTGACAAAACCCACTCTGCAAAGAGAGCCGATGCATCTCCTTAACCAGCTCTTAGGGTTTGCTGAAATTAGAAAGTTACCGATACTGACAGAGGGGCTGACCCGGCTGTGCTGAGTATAACGGACCAGTAACGCTGGATGTACCTGAAGTGTAAACGGGATGCTCTGATTTACACCGCGACGCGACACCACGCTCAGGCGAGTGCGCTCACCCTCACCTCCCCGTCACCGACTCCGCGGCAGCTGCTCTAAGAACAGTGAAGACCTGGTCTCTGAGTGGCTTCCGGTGTTCGACGCGGCGTCACTGGCTACAGTCACTGTGCTGTCCGTCAGGCCCCCAAGCTCACGCGTCTTATCCTGAAGCTGGCACCCTCTGGCTGGCATCGCCCCGTCCCACCCACACCCCAGCCCTGGCAACTATTCTATGAGTTCAACTCTTCTTTTAAAAAAGAAGATTCTACACGGATGTGAAATCGGCTTTTGTCTCTGGCTCACTTCGGCGGGTGCAACGACCCCCGGGTTCACCGTGCTGCGAGCGGCAGACCTCACGGCTGCGTGGCAGCCCAGGGCGTGCGCTAGGGCATCTCTGTCCATGCACATGCTGGCAGACGCTCAGGCCATTCCCCCGTCTGGCTGTGACGTGGGGTGCGGGAATCTCTTTGAGATACTGATTTCGCTGCCTTTGGATAAACACCCAGGGCTGAGATGGCCCTGTTGTTGGAGGAACCTCCATACCGTTTTCCATAGTGGCTGCACCAAATCACGACCCCAGCATGGGCGTCAAAGGGCTCCAGGCTCTCCACGCCCGCACCAACACGCACCTCGTCCTATGGTGACGGCCGCCCCAACGGGTGCAAGGCGACACCCCGTGTGGTCTCACGTGCCCATCAGCCACTGTGCGTCTTCCCTGGGGCACCCCACCCACGCCGCCACAGCAAGGTGGCCGCCGCACTGAGCACACACGCACGTGCACACACATGCACACACGGTGGTCCCATGAGGTGACGACGGAGCCGAAACGGTCCCTCTGCCTGGCAATGTCACAGCCGCCCCATCCGAGTGGGGAGAAGGCTGTGAAACGCCGCGGGGCTGGCCGAGGTGGGGGGAGGGGGGGGACAGCCTCCCCGGGCGTGGACGAGGAAGTGACTGGCGAGTGCTTGGAACAGGGACAGGGACGCACGGCGGAAGCGGCGGCAGGGACAGGGAAAGCACAGGAGGAAAACAGAAGAGCCGCCCAGAGGGCCCACAGTGGAGGGCGGGCGGGTCTAAGCCGCGGACCCGGCACCGGAGGGTCTCCGCGGGCAGAGAAGAACGTGCGCAGGGCGCCGTCTGCCCGCGGGGGAGGAAAGCGGCCAGCAGCATCCCGCGCGCGGACGGGGAGTGCGGCCGTTCAGCATCACGATTCCTCCAGTCCGTGCGTGACGGACACCCAGGAAAAGGTACTTTTAAGTGACAAACTGGGACTCTGAAAGGTAACGTACACACAGGCAGGAGCCACAGAGACCCCGGCTGGACCGCCAGCCCCACCTGCCTCAACACGCAGTCCAAGTGACACGGCTCGGCCCCATCTATGCTCAACGGCGTGCGAGCCCTTGTCTTACCGGAGATGGCGATGACTCAGACCGCTGGCCCGGCGCCCACTCAGGCCCGTCCATCGGCCCAAGACACCGGGTCGCACTGGGACGTGCCACCTTGAGCAGTTCCTTCTAATCCGTTAATAAACGGGGGGCGGGGCGGGCAACACCCTGAGCTCGTCAGGCACCTAAAGACCACGTGGAGCAGCGGGCAAAGCGACCCAGCGCTACAACCAGCGTGCGCTGTGTCCGCTTTGAAGCGGCGTCTCACGCCCAGGCCTGCGGCTTCTGCGTGTGGGTTTCCGCTTCGTCGCAGCCTCTGTGCCCGGCGTGCTCCGCTGGAAAACAGCCACCGGGACGCTTCCTGCCCGGGGACGGAGAACAATGCAGCGCAGGAAGCGCCCCGCTCGCCTCTCAGTCCGGCCTTTGTTTTTTCCTATGTGAGTCGCCGGGCGATCTCACTGGCCGTCCGATCACGGCTGATGCCAGCGGGGTTTTTAACGTATTTATCACTTTTCGGTAAAGCACGGATTTTCCCCTCATGATCCCCACAGGATCCCCTTGGAGGGCCCTGGTCCCCGCGGCCAGCAGGCGTGATCGGCAGGCGAGGTCGGCAGGCGTGATTGGCAGGCGCACCTCCCCAGGCCCGGGGAACAGACGCTCCCATCTCAAGCAGCCTGTCAGAAAGTGCTGAAGCCAGGAGAAGGCAGCAGGGCCCGGGCCGCACAGGGACCCCCACGGCGGGGGTCACCATGGCAGGGGTCCCCATGGTGGGGAGCCCCACGGCGTGCTGCAGCCTGGAAGCCCGTTCTCTCTTCCTGGACAGTCGGCCTTGGGTTCAAGCAGCAGCTGCCAAAGGGAACGGGTGGCTGGCTCTGATAAACAGTCCGAATGTGGAGGCAGAGTCCAGCGCTGGTGACGCTGGTGACAGAGAGAATCAGAAACTGCGTCTCTCCTCCAGCCACCCACGGCCCCCAGCACGCCGAAACAGTATGACGCCTATTTTCTTCCTGATCCCTAGTTATAAACGGACTTCAGGACGAGACCTAAATAAATGCAACTGTCAACGTGAGGCGTCAGCACACTTTTCTGGAAAGACCAAACGATCAGCATTTCAGGCTCACAGGCCATGCAGCTGCTGTCCCGGCTACTCAGCTCTGCCATCGTGGCACAAAGCAGCCAGGTGACAAGTAAACGAGGGGACCTAGCTGTGTGCCAATGAACTTCATTTGCAGACACTGAAATCTGAATTCACACATTCCTCACGTCATGAAATCTTCTTCTTCTGACTTTTTTCCAATCACTCAAAAGTGCAAAAGCCACTCTAAGCCACGGCAGCCAGACCCGGGCCAGGCCAGTGTGCCGACCCCAGCCGTGTGCAGGAGAAGCCTCGGCCCCTCCAATCACCGCCCGATTCCGCTCACCCCAAAGAGGGCTCCTGCACACGCCCAACCCGTGTCTCGGGGTGGTGGCTGGCCTGACGGGGTCCCGGCAGCAGCTCGCCCGCCTTCCTGCCACCCGGATGGCACACGTGGGCCCAAGAGCCAACACAAACACCGAACAAACACCAGTGGCCCGTGACCCTGAAGATCACAGCTGTGTGTCGGGTGACAAGCCCACCCAGATCTTAGTCCTGCTGGTGTTTTACTGACAGTCCCTTGGACAGACCAATTAAAATGAACAACAGAAACGGGGCATGGAAAGAACGCTTAATAAGCGGACTTTAAGCTCTGGTCACCTGCAAAGACCTGAATGCATCTTGGATGAGCAAGACTAGCTGTGGCCGACCTGCTGTGACCTGCCAGCGCGGGCCCAGGGCGGCAGCAGCACGTGGCCCCCGAGGGCGCGGACGGCACGGTGACATCACGGAGGCCAGGCCCGCAGCTCAGCGCTGCGCTTCACCCTGCTGGGGACCACTGTGCACCTGACGCTGCCGGCTCCCGCTATAGGGCTCACGAGGCCCGCCGGCCCTCTGCGCCCTCTCTGGACGACACGGCCGCCTCCCCAGCACCCTCTCTGGACGACACGGCCGCCTCCCCAGCGAGCCAGCGGGTGCTGAGTGTGCTTTTCCGGTTTTATCTCATTAGAGATATCGGTTTCTGGGAAGGAAGCTGAAATCTACACAATTGGATTTTTAAAATAAAGGCCCCTCTGACACTTTGTAAGTGAAACAATGTTACCCGGGCCACCAAGCAGTTTAGAAAGTCCTATGAGAGTTTACAGAACCCTAAAGGGATGGTGAGGGGACAGAAAAAAACAGCCCGTGCACGACGCCGAGGAGAAAGGGTGTTTGCAGAGGGACCATGGCCCAGCAGACAGTGTCCTGGTAATAACCGGGGCGAAACACATCCAGTAGCGCTGTCCTCTGAGTCATTTCCCCAAATGATGGCGTTCTGCCCACACGTCGACGGCATCGCTAAGATGAGTAACAATCACGTTTGACTTTCAACAATAGCAGAAACCTTATCGATCAATCCATGACGAAGATGAATTGTTACGTTTTAAAATAAATGGAACTGACTTTTATCGCTTTCCTACACATGTGAGCGGCCCCGCAGCGTTGTGTGGTCAGCTGGCTTCGTGCCCCGCTGGCACGCAGAACGGAATCTATTTGCTGGCCCTGCCGTGACCACGTGCTAAGCCTACAAGCCCCAGCGACTCCGGCTTGTGGCAGAGTCACAGCTTCAAGGCCACCGCACACTGGGCGACTCCCCTCTGTGGACTCCAGGGGACTCCAGGCCCCTCACTCCCCGGCCTACTCTAGTCCCACGAAGCAGCCGCTCGGACCTGGATGCAGCCGAGCTTCAGATTTCAAAATTTACTTAAGCAGGAAAAAAACATGAGAAACATTTTACGAAGTGCCACAATGAGGACAGAGGACGTGGAGGGGCCGGTCCACCGTCCTGGCTCTGACCGTGTGCTGGCCGCCGGCGGGGCTGGCCCGAGCCTGCGTGTTTCTTCCCAAGGCGGCACGTCTGACAGCACACCCCGGAGACGGCGGGGCGCACGAGCATCAAGTTCTCGGCCCGGCTTCCGAGGGCCCGTTGTGTCCACAGCTTATGTAAACGCAGCCCTGGGCACAGCCCGCTGAACCCGGGGAACAGACAAAGAAAGAACAATGCTGGCAAGGGCAGTGGTCTTCAGCCACCGTGACAAGTGACGGCCCGGAGGCACTTTAAGATCGACACAGGTGACTCCAACTCATCATAAGGAATGGCCAGAAGCAGCAGAGCCGCCAAGGCAGACAGGAGACTGGGGGCGGCTGAGGGTGAGCGGGCGACGGTCTTACCGGGGTGACGAAACTTCTGAAACAACTGTTGTGATGGCCACACAACTCGGCAAACGCAAAACCATTGCCTGGAACCCTTAAAATGGGTGAGTTTCATGATGCACAAAGTGTATCTCAACAAAGTTGTGATCAAACAATACGACCTGGAGCGCTCGTCTCTCCCAGAAAACGACTGAGTGGGGACCCCTGGTGCGGGGCCCGGCTTGTGTTAAGCCCCGGGCTGTCCCAGGGTGCAACCCAGGCGAGCCCTGGCCAGCGGCCAGCGGGCTAATGGCCAGCACAGGCCACAGACCTGGGGCGAGGACACCTGGCTGAAAAGGAAGGTTTGCCGACCAATGAGCTGGAGGACACGGAGGGCCACCGACGGCTGGCGGACCTAAAACTCAGATGTGAGCTCTAGGGGACAATTCCAGTCGCCGAGTGCAGGACACGGGCTGGGAAGCCCCTGCTGCTACCCAGGGGACAGCCGAGAACACAGACGCACAACCCAGTCGCTCCTGTCGATGACATGTGCTGTTTAACAGAAACAGCGCGGCACAGTCATTGGCTATGAACCGTCAACTTAAAAAACACTTTGAAAAGTTGGAAAAAGTTATAAAGAGCTCTCTCTGGTCAAAAGATGGATAAGTGGTAAAAACTGGAATTCATGGGTCATGACCCAGGACAGTGAATTTAAGTCTTTTAAGTAATACTTTGCACGAGTACACTCTTCTGTGAAAGCATTTTAAGCATACATTATCCCATTGCATGTACCTGTATGGGGCCTTTTTATTACCCCCACATCGTGGGTGTAGAAACCGAGGTAGACGCTCACTGCATAGATTACACACGCAATCTTCGGACCCTCGGAATGAGGGCAATTTCAGGATCACTGACCAAGGCTGAGCCTCTCTCAGTTTCCATGCTGGATGCTGGTTCTAGCTCTACCACAAACGAACCCCGGGGTCTCAAAATAACCCCCTTGACCTTTGCGTACCTCACCTGACTTACGTTTGCATCGACAACCTCACGCGACTTTTCAAAGACTGTAATAAGACAGCAAATGAGAGGATATTCTGAAACCTTCAAAACTGTGCTTCGCAAACGCAGGATCGTCTCTCTCTACAC